TTTATTAAGTGTTTCAGGTTCGTGGGTTATTCAAGTTAATTCAAGTGAGGCCCATTTGTTCTTTAAGCCCATGATGTTGTGAAGTGTATTTAGGAGGGAAAAGCTAGGGCTACGACCTAGTCGTGGAAGTTGAAAAGTTTCAAGATTGATCATTGTTCTTTTCTCTCTCAAGTCCACGATTTCAAAACCCTAAGCCAAGTTTGATCAGAATCATGAGGTCCATCTTCAGTGGCATTCAGAAGCTCGTGTCGAGTCAGTCGCCAGAAGCCGATACATCTCTGCCGGAACAACCGTCGCCGCCGAAAGAAGATCAAGTCACCGATCCGCAGAGATCTGAGTCGCCCGCGCCGAATACCCAGCTGGTTCCGTATACAGTTATCTTCCCTGAATCGGAGACCCAAGAAATAGAGCCGCTTGCTATTTCCAATTCTCCGGTGGATGTTGATGGGGATTGCGACTCTTCAGCTCACCCTCGGGTTTCACAGCCGACTGATGCGAATGAACCGGTTCGCAACCCGCAGATTGAAGAGCTCTCGGATGATTCCGACTCGATTCAACTAACCGGAACCACGGGACCGTCTATTTCGTCCCGGATGATGAAACGCAAGAAGTCGATTGCGATGCCTTCTGAGCAGAAGAAGAAGCGACAGGCAACCCGAGGAAAAGGAGCGGCTGTCAAAAACGAGCATTCATTGGAGTTTGATCAAACTCGGTTCGGGTCTGCTGTTGCGTTTCAGAGGTACGGTTCTTTGAATTCCCGGAAATTGCATGCTGAATTGAACATCACCTTTGGTGAAATTGATGAGGTTAGGGATCTGATTTATGCTGCGGGGTTGCTTAGAACTGTTTCTGAGAGCAAGCCTTTTGATCCTCAAGTTGTGTATGAATTTTGGGCGAATCTGCCAACTGTTGAGCCAGAGACAGATTCCGCAGAAGTGCTGGTCCGGAATTGGGTGTATGAGTTTAGTCCTGACAGGATTAATGCGTTGTTTGGACTGCCAGCTGTGGATGAGCGCACAGAACAACGGCATATGGCTGAAGTGATTACCTCCGACATAGCTCTCTTTGTGTCTGGAGGTAAAGCCAAGGTCTTCAAGCAGTTCCAACTGTCTAAGGTTGAGGACAACAACACGAAAGATCTTCTCAAGATCTGTTGTACCAACTGGCTGCCTACTACTAATGATGGGTATGTCACTCCTGACAGAGCCAAATTGGTCTACAAGGTGATGCATCAGAAGCCGTTTGATTTTGGGAGGATGGTCTTTAAGCTGATCATCAACATGGGTCTAACCCCTGTCTCAAAGTTGTGCCTGCCGTTTCCCAGTTTGATTTATCACCTGATTCAGTCACAACACCCTGTGCATCCGGATGTATCTCAGCCAGTGCCAAAGTCCAACAAGAAGGGCAAAGCGAAGAGAGGACAGACGGCTGAGGTTCCAGTGTGCTCTTCAGATGATCGCAAGGCTTTGCGTCGTGCAATTCAGATCATGCAGCGTATCATCGATGCAGGTAAGTGTTTCTTCTTTCAATCTGTCATTCATGTGATCCATAAGTTACTTGTTTTTTACTTAGTTGTGCAAACAAGCAGGGGGAGATGATTCTGATTCTGATGATCATAGGACTGGTTGATTTGTGGGGGAGCATTTGTCCTGGGGGAGCAGTTGCTGTTGTTGCTGTTTGTTTTTGGTTGTTAGCAACAATGTATTTTTATTACAGAACCTTGTTTCGTTAGCTTTTAGCTTTTGGGTCTGTAATATGTTTAAACATGGCTTTTTAGGATTTCTTATTTTGGGATTTGTGCTAGTTATATTGCTAGATGTTTTCCTTGTTGCTGTGTTTTGGTGTTGTCTCTCTGTGACTTTCAGGTTTATCACAAAGGATGCTTGATTATCAAACTAAGTCAAAAAGGGGGAGATTGAAGATGCAGTTCCAGAACAGCTTGCTGTGAAGATCAGGAAGCCGCATCTGTTCAGACGCCTGAGACCACATCAGACGCCTGGGATCACATCAGACACTTGAAGTTGCTGACATGGAGTCGTGAGATGACGTGGCAAAGCTTAAGTGGATGGAGTGACGTGCTAAGGAAGATTTCTTGCTTGACAGCAAAGATAGAGACGAATTGCGTGTGAAAATATGGTGAATATTCTTCACATCAAATAAGGAAAGGATAAGCTTGACAAGCAAGTATATTCCGTTTCCGTGAGATCCTCGAAGATCCTAGGGTTAGGGTTTCGAGTAGTGAGTATAAATAGTCTAGGGTTTGGCCACGAGCCATTTTGAACACTTTAGACTCTTTGTACGTGATTATATACTTCGAAGCTAGCAAAACAAAAAGCTGAGAAGGTGAGTGTTTGTTTTCTCTTGGGACTACACGGGTGTAGGAGAGATAGGTTTAGTGCTCGTTCTTTAGTCGGGTTCAATTCTATTGGTAGGAATAGATTGAGTAAGAGCCGAGACAAAATTGTATCCTAGGAAAAGATAAATTTTGTTAATAAAGATCGAAGGAAAAAGCGTTTGCTTGGCGCGTTCTAAGTTTAACTGTCTGTGCGTTTCTCTATACATTTTCAATATTTCCTTAAGGGGGTTTTTGGGTCCTTGGTGACTAGAGAGTAGAGTATATTGACTAGTAAAAAATTTAACAGAGGTTCATCCGTTGATGAAATTCTCGTCGTTGTTGTTCGTTCTGTGGTTAAAAAGATTTATCATGTTACCAGAACCTTTGACGTTGGCAGTTGGCGTACCCGGAGAGACCTTTTACCCATTGCTCTCACGTAGGTCCGCAGTTCAACAACCATATTTTGACTAGAGAGGTATTATTTAATGCCATTTAAGACCTTTAAAGAGACTAATCGCTGTGGGAAAACTTGAATTCTTATCTCCAACTTCAAAACCCAAGAGGAATTTTCAAACACTAGGAAACTTATTACAGGTTTGTATGATTAATATTTTGGAGTAGTTGAAAACTTTAAAACCACTTTGTCCTATATTCTGAATCTTTTTTTCTAATAGAAACAAGTTGAGAAGAGAGTATCGAAACTTTATACAGCAATCTGTTTCTATATCATTTGTAGAACCAATAAAGTTTATAGAGATTTGGTTAAATGATCATCAAGTTACTCGTTTGTGTCCTTGGATGCCATCTAAGTCAATATCATGGAAGAGAAATCGATGTAACAATTCAAGTTTGACAAACATTCGTATAGATGTGTTTTTGGATATATAATAGTAAGGTTTCAAACAACTGTAATGATATAACTATTAAAATAACTTCACAAACCTTTTTTCTCCAATTAGGGGCAAGGCAATGCGCATAGCTTTTGATATTACAATGACGAGGAAGAGAACTCTATTGTGGAGTTTAAGATCATGGATTCTGGGTATAATGGGTAGAGATTAGAACCAGAAGCAGAGGATTTCACTGTTGTCGTTTGATGATCGGTCACACCAAACTTGCTCGAGCTACCATGTGTATCAATGTCCTTCAACTTTGAGATGCTCCAGTTTGGTCCATATAAACCAGGACCTGACATAACCTGGGGTATCTCCATCTCTCCCTCTAGCATTTGCACAACCTCTGACATTGTTGGTCTTAAGGAAGGAGATGAGTTTATGCAAACTAGAGCAACTTTGATCATTCTTGCTGCTTCATTGTTGTTGAATTCACCTTTGAGCATTGCATCTACGATGTCCATTATGTCCCCTGTCTGTTGCAGCGTCAGCGCCTGAGTTTTGATGTAAAAACCAGTTTCAGTAAACTTATGGAAACAGATCATGGATTGAATGGGTTCAAGAGAGAAAAATCTCCACGGTTACCCAATTGATAAGCGAGACGTTTCCCTGCTGTTTCGTATTACTCTTTCCACTAACAATTTCCATTGCCACAACCCCGAAGCTGTAAACGTCTGCTTTCTCTGTTAGTTGACCCCATAATGCATATTCTGGAGCCATATAACCACTGCAGCAATATTAGAGAAACTAAGAATGACACGTTTCTGCAGCCATGATTGCGGTTTTCGTTATATGTTCTATACTTACATGGTTCCTGCAATTTTGGTGCTAATGTGACTGTGTTCTGCTTCATGGAGCCTAGCCAATCCAAAGTCAGATATCTTTGCATTAAGGTCGGCGTCTAGAAGCACATTAGTTGTTTTTATGTCACGATGAACCATCCTCATCGCCGATCCTTCGTGGAGGAAAGCAAGCCCTCTTGCGATTCCAAGACAGATTTTTTGTCTTGCTGCCCAGTCCAGTTTTAAGGAACCCTTTTCTGGCAATGAAATACACCAAAGAGATATTACATCACATAACATATATGTGCACATGAATTAGACTTAAAATGTCTTGAAAAGTTGGGTCACTTTAAATTACCAAACAGCGGAAGAGCAAGGGAGTTATTTTCCATGTACTCATACACTAGCAGCAAGTGATCTTTCTCGACACAACATCCATAAAGTTTGACAAGGTTTGGATGATTTAGACCTGAAATCATGCCTATCTCATTGACAAATTCACGGTTTCCTTGACATGATTTAGAAGAAAGCTGCTTGACTGCTATGATAGTTCCATCTGACAGCTCTCCCTGCATGATGTTTCTCATATCAGAAACCCAAAACAACACTATTCTTCTCAAGTATCTATCTACATTTTGGAAAAATTTGGCATCTTACTTTGAATACGGATCCGAAACCTCCTTCTCCAAGTTTGTTGGCTTCATCAAAATTATTTGTTGCAGCTTGCAGTTGCCTCCAAGTAAAGCAAAGCGTTTGCAGACCTTGCGCTCTCAGTTCTAAGTGATCATTGTGTTCACAAGAGAAAATCATTACTAATGGCTAAAACTGTTGGATTACCTTCTTGGAATCCCTTTATATACTGGAACTCTGTTTACCTCGTTCTATTATGTTCTTGTCTCCTCTGCTTCTTTTCCATGCATATATTCCCATAGCTGAGAGAATAACTGTTACTGAAGCAATAGTGACCCCAACAATTAAGGGATACTTAGTATGATGTTCTGTGTTCTCCGCTGCAAATGAGACAATAAAAGTGTTAATGCTAATATACATGATAGATCATATATTCTCGAAGAAAGAAGTTTTTTTTTTTTTTTATCTTTGGACCTCCACATCTTGGCTCCAGACCTAAAAGTTTTAGACATGAAAACTAGCGTTAGGCGTCAAAAAGACGGAGGTAATAGTTTGAAGTTATGGCCATTTGAGTCTTAGGAGTGAAATAAGTCAATGTGAAGAAAGCAACGAGCAGAGGAGAAAAGGACACTTACTGTGACATAAGGAGATAGCAGAGATAAGAGGACCATAGTTTCCTCTTTGGGGAATGAGAGTTGTCCCTTTCCCCGCCCAATACAACCGAATCTCTAACATATGATCGCTCACATTCACGGCTTTCTTTTCTTTCATAATAGGTTTAAGAGCTCCATTAGCCTCCTCTTTGATGTTAAAGTCCCTCAAGAACAGTTCTCCCTGACAGGAAAGCAAAAAGGACAAAAGCAAATGGATTTCAATCTTTAGTAAGTAAAAAACAAACAAACTATTCAGTACTAAATATATGCGTCTCTCCAAACGCTTTACCTGAACATAGACATCAAATATGCGTCTGCCGAGACGCTTGTATAGTTCTTCATCATAAAACTGAATCTCCATGAAATGGAGTTTCACATCGTAGGCTCCATTTTCCAAGCAAAACGCGTAATAAACAAGAGAAAGAGAAGAGCGACGTGCAGTCTTATAAATATCAGGAGAATCTCCAGATAAACTAGTTGAAAGGATGTACTGATCCTCACTATCACCTTCATTATCATCCGTAAATACACCTGTGTTACTGATTCCCCAGTTTTTGAAGTGCTGATTTGTTGCAGCACTGAGTTTGTAGTTATCAGCTTGATATGTGATTTTACTATGCTGAGAAGAGTTTGTAATCACTATGTTGTCTCCACCACAGTTTATATGCAGGAACCGCTGATCTGCAACCCATGATTTATCACCATTAACTAAAAGAGAGACTTAACAAGCTAAGCAATAAGCATGATGTACTTACAATTCGTGCAGTTTACTGAACCAGCACATGGGAGAAGCTCAGTTCTGTATTATAAGACTACCAGAATAATTAGGCACCATTTTAAGGAGCTTTAAACCATATTTATTGCTTATTTAATTATAGCCAGAATTATTTCTTAGTTTTATATATTCTTGTTGCTTAATTGTTCCAAGATAAAGCAGAAGAATGTACTTACAAATTTGTCTTCAAATATGAGCTCTGGTATGTGTTAATGTTACTGATTCAAAAGAAAATGAAAATAGAAACTTCAACATGAGCAGCTTGTGTCATATCTACCATTACCAAGAATGCATGTTCTTACGTACCTCTTATCCTTGCAGCTAGACGACCATGAGAAGTTGTTGTAAGAGAGATCACTGTGAGAAATAACCAAATTAGTTGACCATAAATATCTCAAGTGATATATATATAGACGAGGGAAAGCTTAAACGTACATATTAGATTTGTCATTGAGAAAAATACTAGATTCAACGTCTCCATAAAGCTCATTTCCTGTCAAATAGCTGAAAGAACATGTGATCATGATCACTGAAAGGTTTCAAGCTCGGTTGACAATTTTAATCCCAGATAGTAGCACTTACGTATATATTGGTGTGTTTCGTACTCCATGAATTTCACCAGTCAACTTGTTAAACGATAAATCACTGCAGCAAACGATATATGTACATATACATAATTAAAAACAAACAAACAAAAACTGGTATGGGGTATATATGGACTACTGTATATCTATATGTTTGCATAAGTTAATCTATAGATAGATAGAACCTCTTATATTGATCATATCACTCTCACAAACACTTATTTTGTTTTTCCAATGATGTTTAGTTATGTGCTTGCTTATGGTAAGCAGCTTACCCATGAGTCCATGACGATCTATATACGCCATATAATTAAGTAATGGTGACCAGTAAATATATAAGCATAGAAATGAACAATTTCATGAGCATACACAACTAAAGTCTTCAGGAGTATATTAAACTAGCTAGTTCTGACAAGTTTCAAGCTTACAAACTAAATCTTTTCACTTATGACCAGCAAGAACTTACAAATTAAAGTCCTTGACAAAAAAAATAAAAAACTTACAGAGTCCTTAGCTCTGGCTTACTCCAAATGTAAGAAGGAATCAAACCATACAAACTCACATTCCTCAAAGTTCTGGAACAAGGACAGAGATTTTTGTGAGAAATTTTCAAATAGACTAGAATCAAGCCTTCAGAGAAAAGAAAAAAGATCATTGGAAAACAAATACAGGGTTTTGATGGCGTTGCTGGTTATATTTGGAAAATAGTTTATCCCAGTCGTGCCAGTAATAATCCTGCATATGAATATTTCATTTAAATCATTAGTCTTAATTCAACTCCATGTCATTATTGCTACTAACTATTAAAGGTAGTAAAATTACAGTTTCTTAAGTTTTGTTAGGCGGCCAACTGCAGGAATAGGTCCTTTTAGTCCACTTGCGGATATATGTCTGTTGATCATAAACGAAACAAGTTAGGCGGTGCAGAAACACAAACTACTGTATAAGAGAAATTGCAATAATTGGTGAAGGACAAGCGTACAGCTCTCGAAGCTCGAACCAGTTGCCAATATATCCCGGGATGATGCCAGTAAAGTTATTGTCACTTATCCTACTGCATAACGAATATAAACAACTAGTTTAGAGTTTTATGAAACTAATTTTGTTGGACTACTTTATAGGCTTTCTCTACTATCAATTCATATAGCGAGGTAAAGCATTTTTGCATGTATCAAATCAATTCACAGCCAAACAATCCATACTCTGAAGAAACAAAGCATATCTAAAATTAATCAAGGACGAAATCTGACTCTAAATGCCAATAAGAAACTTGTTCTTGGAAGCTGCCAGCAAAATGTATCAATGTCTTCAAGAACTTCAAGAATTTACTAATATTTAAGTCTAGTTACGAAGACAAAAAAATATAAAATATTTTGAAACTTTTATTTTCCAAAGTAGAGAAACAACTTACAAATCCTTGAGGTTAATCAGTTTAGCAAAGGAGTCAGGCAAGCTTCCTGTAAACCGATTGGAACCAAGTTGCCTGCAAAAGCCAGTTTGAGAAAATGTCAATATCAAAAAGACCGTTGTTTTTGATTTCCAAAATTGGTTAAGATGTAAAGGGTCTTACAATTTTTCTAGTTTTGTCATGTTACCAAGCTCATCAGGAATAGGACCAGAGAACTGGTTTGCTTCAATCCCTCTGGAAAAAAGTAATGCAATATAAGATGTAATTAAAAGGCACATAACCACAACTGGTCAAGAAACAAATCTGAGACGTACAAAGATGTCAGATTCTTGAAGTTTTGTAATCCAGGTGGTAACTTCCCAGACAAGTTATTCGCGCAGACCGAGCTGCAAGACAAATCAAACGTTACGTGCAGATCATGAGGATGAAGCATCAGAGAAAGAGAGGGAGAGCTAACATAGTAGTGAGGTGTGGCATTGAAGCCCACTCCATAGGGATAGAGCCAGAGAGGTAGTTTCGGCACAATTCACTGCAAAGAAAGTGCAAAAGCAAGCTTGGTCATGCTTCTCTTTGGTGATTCTCTCGCTACAAGATTTGTTAATTTCAAATTTTTATACTTAAAAGCATTCAGAAACGACGAGAATCTCTAACAGTAAAAGAAAACAGAGCCTTTACAGGTTTGATTTATAATCACTTTTCACTTTTTATTTACGGAAGCCTATTATTATAACATTACACTTCAACTATTTTTTGTAATCCTTAAAGATGTTATTCTAAATAATGCAAAACGTCCAATTTATGTTAAATAGTGCAGTAGTGTTTTATTGGTTAAACTCACATCCTTTGGAGATATCGAAGGTCGGCCAACTCAGGTGGTAATATCCCTGGAAGGCTAAGGGTCTTGAGGTCTCTGTTCTCGCTCAAATTAATGCAGCCAGATAAATATAATTTACTAGGATTTTTGTTTTTTTTAATAACAAGAAAATTAAAGTACTAATGAAGAGAAGACAGAACGATTTTAAAAAACACTCACATGCTTGTTATATGACATGTATCGTTGTTGTATAAGCTACAATCACAACCAATGGCGTTTTTCATCTTCGGATTCGAAACACTAGTGACTTGTTGCATCATAGTTAAGGTTCCTAAACTGCATGGGTCTCCATTCCTTAGGTTAAATTCCTTGATTCCAAGTGTAGTAGCAATCTTCTCTAGCGTATTTACTGCATGTAACCAAATACAAAACATATAGAATTTGGATTTAGACCATGCATGCATGATTTATAAAAAAACAAATTAAGCTTAAAATGGCGCGATTACATACATTCATCTGGGTGGAGAGTTGATAAAACAGATGTTGGGATTGCAAAGAAGATTGTGATGATGGTAAAGAAGAGAAGAAGAACAGAGAAGCCGATCAACATATTTAAAAGAGCTATATTTTGATTCAATGTTATGTCATTAGAAAGGGACTCAATAGTTATATAGTGCATGGAAAGATTAAATGTCACGGATGAACTATTCCGTTTACAGGAGCAAATCAACATGACTAGGTCAAATTGGATGTACGAAAGATGGAACTAAACAAGATCAACTGAATGGTTTTGATCCTATACTAATCATACTAAAAACACCATTTAAGCTAGCAAGTGTGTTTTGGGTTTAGTTGAAATTTTTTGGGTCTTCCAAAAAGTGTGCGTTTTGAGCCTCCTAGCTAGACTCGTACTTAGTTTTCATTTTCTTAAATATGAATATTTTATTTTTCCTTTGATTTTAGGGATAACCGATAAGGTCGTCGAGTACTGATTAAATAGTAGAGATATATAATTGGCCAAAATCAATGTTGATGTTGAAGTTCATATTAATACGTGATGTTTCTTGTCCCCTAAAGTTGTCGAGGACGACTACGTTAACACTGTGGACGAAGACGAACTATTCTCGATCCTCTAGTAAATTATTTAGAACTTGACTCTATACATGACCAGTTCATCCCACTCCCGGTCGTTCAACTTACCGTAATTACTGGCAACCAAAACGGTAACTGATGACAATAAATTGTAAAACGGTGACAGCCTATGACGCACGCAACAAATCTTGTCCGTTGTAAGTTATATTGCATGCTATTTAAAAAAAAAAAATTGATGGGTTAAAGGATTCATATGACAAAATAATTGTTACAATATATTGCAAGATTTCATATGATTAACGACCATAGAAAAAACATTACTATAATATAGGTGGGAAATCTAATTAATGATAGAAGGACCACATGTAGTTTAACAATTTGAAGTAGTGCTCGCGTCGTGTCATTCGGGTTTGAATCTATCGTGTGGAGTTATATAAACGATCGACGACAAAAGAAAAAAACATGCAAAGAAAAAAATATTAAAGACTCTATTTTTTCTAAGTAAACGCAAGGCAATAAAGGCATTAATTGACAAATTTTTTTTGTTATAAAGTGCAAGTCAATATTTTAATAAATATTTTGGTTGACAAAAAAATATAAATAAAGTGCAAGTCAATGGCACATGCATGGAGCTTCTTAAGATTTTTTTTTTATTATTGCAATAAAAAATGAAATGGTCTAAATTAAATTACGAGTCACTCCAATTACAGCATGAACGATGGGCGCTAGCCCTAGTGTCATACTTCTATCGAGCACATGCACAATGTTATAGACCACAAGAAGAACACTAGTGTAGAGATAATTATAAGACGGTTCACTCTACTGTGAGTACTGTCTACTGTCTAGCGATAACAATGTACTCGGAACTGAGTTAGTTACACATCATAAGCATAAATTCAGAGGATGACATTAATCGACAGGACATAATCAGAAGACAAAAACGATAGCTTGAAACGCAAGTCATTTTAAGGTACACTCCAGGGTCTGATCATATCACTCGTTTTATCTTAGTCTCTCCTTCAAGCATTTTTACAACTTCGTAATTTTACGCTTGGATAATGGATGGTGGGTATAATGGGTAGAGATCAGAACCGGAAACAGATGATTTTGTTGTCCTTGTTATTTGATCCGTGAGACCAGATGTGCTGGAGCTACCATCTGTATCAATAATGTTCTTCAGCTTTGAGCACCAGTTTTGTCCATATAAACCAGGATCTGACACAACCGGTGTTATCTCCAACGCCCCCTCGAGCATTAGCACTGCCTCTGACATTGTTGGTCTCAATGAAGGAGATGAATTTGTGCAAACAAGAGCCATATTGATCATCCTCACAGCTTCTTTGCTGTTGAAATTACCTTCCAGCATTGGATCCACAATCTCCAATATGTCCCCTCTCTGTTGCAGCGTCAGCGCCTGAGATTACATGTAAAAACAGGTTTTTTACTAAACTTTATAAATTGCATATCTAGGGTGATATAAAGAGAAATAAAAACTCCATGTTTAACTGTGTTTACCCAATCCATAAGGGAGACATGATCAACCATTCCTTTATGTTTTGTATTACTCTTCCCACTAACAATTTCCATTGCCACAACCCCAAAGCTGTACACGTCTGCTTTTTCTGTTAATTGTCCCCATAATACATATTCTGGAGCCATATATCCCCTGTATTATAAGACAAACAAAGACTTGAGTTAATTTCATTCTGGTTTTTAAATTTTATACAATTATTACACTTACATGGTTCCTGCAACTTTGGTGTTAATGTGAGTGTGTTCTTCTTCATGAAGCCTAGCCAATCCAAAGTCGGATATCTTTGCATTGAGGTCGGCATCTAGAAGCACGTTACTTGTTTTTATGTCACGGTGAACCATCCTGATCATTGATCCTTCGTGAAGGAATTCAAGTCCTCTTGCTATTCCAACACATATTTTTTGTCTAGTTGCCCAGTCCAATTTCAAAGAGTTTTCACCTGGCAATGGATGTAAATCAAAAAGAAATCATATCACTCAACCTATGATTTTTAATTAGACTCAAAACGAAATAAAAAATGAAGGCTGAATATGAGTTTAAATTACCACACAACACAAGGGCAAGAGAGTTGTTTTCCATGTACTCATACACGAGCATCAATTGGTTCTTCTCAACACAGCAACCATAAAGCTTGACAAGGTTTGGATGATTCAGACCTGAGATCATTCCTATCTCATTTACAAATTCGCGGTTTCCTTGGCTTGAGGTGGAAGAAAGCTGCTTAACTGCTATGATGGTTCCATCAGACAGCTCTCCCTGCAGTTAGTTTCTCATATCAGTAATCTACGAAAGCCGTTTTCTCACGTGCCTAAGTATGTGAAGAATTTGGTATCTGATTTAGTATACTTTGAAAACAGATCCGAAACCTCCTTCTCCGAGTTTGTTGGCTTGGTCAAAATTGTTCGTTGCAGCTTGCAGTTGTTTCCAAGTAAAGCAAGCCGTTTGCAGACCCTGGGCTCTCAGTTCTATGATTTCAGGTTCTCAAAATCATTAATCATGCTATATGCATATGTACGAGGAATGGATTCATATACTTTTTGAACTTCCATACCTATTTCCCTCGCTTTCTTGTCTCCTCTGCATCTTTTTTGAGTATATAATCCCAAACCCAAGAGGGTAATTGCTACAAAGGCTCCCGTGACACCGAAAATTATGGGATAATTAGTGTGTAGCTTTGTTTTTTCCGCTGTAAATGAGAAATTATAAGTAAAATTAAACACCAGGCTACAGAAAATAACTTTAACAAAGTAGTTTTGTTTTGTCTATGGACCTCCACATTTTGGCCCGAGACCTGAAATTTTTAAAAGATGAAAATTATGATCAGGTGGCAGGAATGATAGTAGTAAATGAAAGGAAAGCACAAAAAGTAATACTTGAGAGCGAAACAGCTTGAAGACACAAGGGTACTTAGTACTTACTGTGATGACACAAGGAGATGGCAGATATAAGAGGACCATAATATCCTCTGTTTGGAATAAAGGTTGTTCCTTTCCCCGCCCAATACAGCCGAATCTCTAACAAATGATCGGTCACATTAACAGCTTTTTTTTCTTTCACAACTGGCTTTAGAGTCCCATTAGCCTCCTCTTTGATGTTAAAATCCTTCAAGAACAATTCTCCCTAACATCCGAGAAAAAGACATATGAAATAAACCTAACTCTTCAATGCCATTAATTTTTTCAAGGATATGATTAAGAAAAACAGTTATATAAAGTAAGCTTTACCTGAACATAAATATCAAATATGCGCCAACCCGAACGACTGTATAGTTCTTCTTCTGCAAACTGAATCTCCATAAAATGGAGTTTCACATTGTAGGCTCCATTTTCTAAGCAAAACGCATAATAAACTAGCGATAGAGCAGATCGACGTGCGGTCTTATAAAGTTCAGGAGAGTCTCCAGTTGCTCTCAAACTAGTTGAAATAACGTACGTGTCATCATCGCTTTTATCATCGGTGAAGTGACCTGTGTTGCTGATTCCCCACGTCTCAAAGTGCTGGTTTGTTGCGGCATTGGTTTTATAGTTATCAGCTTGATAAGTGATTTTACCCAAGGAGTTTGTAACATTTACATTTTCTCCACCACAATTTATATGAAGTGATCGCTGATCTACAATAAACAACGTTTATCACAAATAAAGAAAATAGTAGAGGTGTCAGATTCTTAATTTTAAGGAGCTAGGGATTTTTAAAAGGGCAAGTAAACAATGAAGACAACAAACACAAAAATTAGGTCAACAAGTGTTAAATGTGTAAGTTAAACATGTCAATATGTACTTACAGTTCTTGCAGTTCATTGGACCAGCGCATGGAAGAAGCCCAGTTCTATATAACAAGACTATCATAGTACTTATTAGGCATCTAATCAGCAGAACACTTTCAAACCATCTGTAATCAACTAAGTTTAATCCATTCTTGTTGCAAGATAAATTAAAGCAGAATTCTTACTTACATATTGTTTTTCACATATGAGCTCCGGTATGTGTTAATGTTACTGAGACAACATAAACTTCAACATTAGCTGGTTATTAAGATATACGTATATGGAAGTTGTATCCTGTATACCAAGATTTCATGTTCATACCTCTTTTCCTGGCAGCTAGATGGCCATATGAATTTGTTGTAAGAAAGATCACTGTCAAGGATTCGCAAAATATAGAAAACCGACAAGAAGATTAGTTTGCATGAGGGCAAATTTTTCAAGCCATGCATGTAAACAGGGATAGGGAAGGCCGCGTCAAAGGATCAAACGTACATATTAGATTTGCTGTTGGAAAATACACCGGAGTCAATGTTTCCGGAAAGCATGTTGCCAGTCAAATAGCTGAAAGAGAACACGTACGTATCATCCAATTATAATTTTATTCTCTTTGCATGTAAAAACTTTGTCTATCTCGAGTTGTACTACTTACGTATATTTTGGTGGGTTTTTTACTCCTTGAACTTCACCAGTCAACTTGTTGAATGATAAGTCTCTGCAGCGAAGTACAGCGTATACGTATAATTAAGTATTATTTGATATGAACGTAGTTGTATAAATAATTTAGATATTCTACCAAAAACATAGATTATATAATTTCACGTAGAAGTGATAATTGTTGAGTGATGAAGGATCAACAATATATTGAAACGTTTATAAACCGAGTTTGTCATACTTGCATATTTGCTATAACAAAAATTTACTATTTCTTCTCTCTAGACTCTAGCTGTAGGGAATTTCACATACTTACTCATAAGTCTAGAACAGTCTACATTTAGACATAGAATTAATATAGCCTAATAAATTAAAGCATATAAGTATAGTCTGATTTGTTTCAGTTACAAAATCTTTTCACATTTCACAAAAAAATACTTACAGAGACTTTAGATTTGGCATGTTCCAGATGTAAGAAGGAATTGGACCAGACAAACTCACATTCCTCAAAATCCTGAAATAGGATTGGAAACACAAATTTAATTTTTCCGAGATAAAGATCAAGATGAAAAAGAGTGAGCTTAGTGGAAAATCAATACAATGTTTTGATGGCGTTGCTGGATATAATTGGAAAAGAGTTTATTCCAATTGTATCACTAATGCTCCTGCATATATGTGATATACGTTACAATATTGCTTGAAAACTATCGGTCTCATTTCAATGGCTATTTAGCTGATCTATTGAAATTAGTTAGTATTACAGTTCAGTAAGATTTTCTAGGCGGACCACTTCATCAGGGATAGGTCCTCTCAGTCCACTTGCGTATAGATGTCTATTAATCAAAACTAACACATGTTAGAATGTACAAAGAAATAAACCACAAGAGAAATTACCGCTAGTGATGAAGAACTGACAATTTTTCAAGTCGAGACCAGTTGCCAATATATCCTGGGATGATTCCAGTAAAGTTATTGTCACATATCCAACTGCAAAATTAAAAGAAAAAACTAGTTTTAGAGCTTGGCAAAACTAATGTTTTTTAAACTGGTTTATAGGTTTTCTATGCTATGATTCCACACACTCAAGTAATGGTTTATAGGTACTCCACAAAATTTTCATATATTTTTTGTCACAGAAAGGCAAATTCCACTTAGAAAGGCAAAAAAATAAAATTTTAAAAAACTTGCATTGCTTTATATGTAGATTAACAACTTACAATTCCTCAAGGTTTACAAGTCTAGCGAGAGTGCTAGGAAGACTTCCTGTCAATTGATTGGACGAAAGAAACCTTGCAAAAACCCATTTTCATCAAAAGATGAAAATTGTGTGTTTTCCCATAAAATCAAAAAATTTAGATGGCAAATATAAAAAAAATGATAATGTAAGATTATCTTACAATACTGCTAGGTTGGTCAAGTTACCAAGCTCATCAGGAATTGGACCAGAGAACTGGTTGCCTTCAAGACCACTAATTTTTTATTATTACATTACTGAGATATTAGCTCTAATTAAAAGGAACATCCAAATATATATAACCATAGATGGGGAAACAGTGTTAAAGGATGTACATGGCTTTTAGATTCTTGAAATTTTGCAACCCAACAGGTAAATTCCCAGACAAAAGATTCGCAGAGAGCGAACTGCAAGAAAATTCAACGTTACACCCACGTTATGAACAGAAAAGCATTGAAGAAAGGGAAGATGGAGCTAACATGGAAGTGAGATATGGCAATGAAGCCCACTCCATTGGGATTGAGCCTGTGAGGTAATTCCGGTATAAGTCGCTGCAAAGAAAAGCCAAATACCTTGGTTAAATATATTATTAAATCTAGTTAGACGACCTCCATCCTATAAGTTTCTAACTATAAAAATATTAAGAAAGAAAGAAAAATGAGAAATTGTTTCTAAAATCTCTTATTTTAGAACCTCATTTGTCACTAGAAACTCTTAAAGCACTTGCATATATGTGAGTGATTTTATTTTATTTTTAATAATTTATAACAGTAATTTATTTATGGAATATTTTATTCTTTAGAACTCAAAATAAAAGCTCATTGTTGTTGGTGATGCTCTTTTATGCTCTCTTCGAACAGACTCTCGCACCAAGAGTATAATAATATAAAATATATAAATGCTACAAGTTTGATTAAAGTTAGTAAAGATTTGTCTTTTGAAAAGGTAAAGTTTGAAAGAAAACAGAAACTTGACAATGTTAACAACAACACAAACATACAAAAACTTGAAAAGAGTTGGTTTAATATAATGAAATTTTAGTTAAAATATAAAAAATGGAAATCAAATTTATAAATTCTAGTTTTTGTATTTTTGAATTTTCAATGTTAACATACACTACTAATTTGATTATTTTTTTTTTGTTTTTTCTTTTCTGTTTTCAAAGATATTTTTAAAAATTATTAACACTTATGAACTTACAAACACAACCTTATTTTTGTTGTAATTTTATGCATAAAACAATCCAAGCTTTATTATTTTTCAACCATTTCTTGTTAATTTTTTGGACCTTAGTCTAATCAATGATTTGTAATATGGTTTCGGCGTGGTAAAATAACTTACATTGACCGGAGATATCGAAGCTTGGCCACCTCAGGTGGAACTTTCCCCGAAAGCGTAAAATTTCTGAGAATTCTGTATTTTCAAATTAATACAAATTAGTAAGGATTAGAGAAAAGGAATAAGAAAAAAAAAAAGAAGATTAAAGATAAAAAGATTAACACTCACAAGTCTGTAATATGACACGTCTTGTTATTGTTGAAGCTACAATCACAAACAATGGTGTTGTTCATACCCGGATTCCAAACAATACCAACTTCTTGTATGATCATTAGAGTTTTTAATCGGCAAGGATCTTCATAACTTAAGTTCAATCTCTTTATGCCAAGTGTAGTAGCTATCTCCTCAAGCGCAATTACTGCACAAATTATTGAGTACATACATGTGGAAAAGTACGAATGAGAGATGGTCATATTGATATTAGAAGAATAAATCTTTTGAGTTAATACATTCATCTGGATGCAGAGCTGGTGAAGTGGATGTTGTTGAAGTCACGATGAAGAAGCTTGTGATGATGGTGAAGAACAGAAGCAGAGCCGAGAAGACAGTCCACATTGTCGGCACAGATACTACATAGCGATTTTTGTATGAGTATTTGTTTGGGATAGTCACAATTTTTACCATCAATAGGTGAACTTAATCATTGTCATATAATAAAAGATTTTATGTATTTTTTTATAGTCAAGTCTTCTTGGGTCGTCGGCTACTGTATAGCTGCATATCGGACAAACGAAGTTACGCTGACGTGATAGGTTCATGAATACTTTGATATTCTATGTCCTTTAGTTAATAAATTTTTTACAAACTCAATTATTTATGCACTCACACACAAGTATCCGTGATATTGTTTTAAAAGATGGATAAATATTTGATGTCAAAAAAATAAAAGATGGTTAAATATTTTTACCGGTCGTAAAGAATGTGGTTAAGGAAAAGACGGTTAAATTGGTAACAAGTAGTAAGACATTATTGTAAAACAACTACTCATTTCGTGTGTTTCAAGTTCAGTGGACACTGTCCAGTGCTAGGGCTATAAACCATCGCCTTTAAATCATTATTTTCATAATCCATCGACGCATCACGCATATATATAGTGATTCTTTGTATGTGTTTTTTGTTTTGTTAATCACAATTTTAACGTCGGCAAACCATTCAAGAGTTACTTATATTAGATAATATGATGACTTTATAGTTAATTATAAGATAACTTCTCTCACAAGAAACAAGGCAATGTGGCATGTGCACAACCTTTGATGTTACAGTGAAGAGGAAGAAAACTCCACCGTGGAGTTCAGGGTGGCGGATTCTGAGTTATCTGGGTAGAGATCATAGTCTGACATCGACGATGCCTCAGGTGTTCTCTCCATCAGCTTTGAAAAGTGTAAGTCGTGTCCATACACAGCATGGTCTGACAGAACCTGTGTTATTTCCATCTTTCCCTCGAGCATTTTCACAGCCTCAGACATCAATGGCCTTAAAGAAGGATTTGCATTTGTGCAAACAAGAGAAACTTTGATCATTCTCACTGCTTCTTTGCTGTTGAATTTACCTTCAAGCATCGGATCTACTATCTCCAATATGTCCCCTCTCTGTTCTAGGGTCAGCGCCTGAGTTTGATGTTAAAAAGAAAAAAACAAGCTTCACTAAAACTTTATGGTAAAAGAAAGCACGGATTCAACTATTAATTAGGAAATAGAAACATAAAGTAGTATACTCCTGTTACCCAATTGATAAGCGAGAAGTTATCAGCACGTCCCTGCTGTTTTGTAATACTGTTTCCACTAACAATTTCCATTGCCACGACTCCGAAGCTGTACACGTCTGCTTTCTCAGTCAAGTGACCCCGTAACGCGTATTCGGGAGCCATATATCCACTAAAGTATGAAGAGAAAAATTCAGAACTTGTAGCAGACTACTATTTTCATGTGTCATGGGTGTGTTTAAACAAATACTCCCTTACATGGTTCCAGCAATATTGGTGCTGATGTGTGTGTTCTCTTTCTCGTGGAGCCTAGCTAATCCAAAGTCAGATATCTTTGCATTAAGGTCGGTGTCTAGAAGCACATTAGGGGTTTTTATGTCACGGTGAACCATTCTGATCGTCGACCCTTCATGGAGGAATTCAAGGCCACTTGCAATTCCCACACATATTTTTCGTCTAGCTTCCCAGCACAATTTCAGGGAACTCTTTCCTGAAAATGGAGAAACAAAATCACATTACATGTGGCTAATAACATATTTGTACACTTAAAGAAGCTCAAAATGTATATGCAAAAGTGGGGTGACTTTAAATTACCAAACAAGGCAAGAGCAAGGGAGTTATTTTCCATGTACTCATACACTAGCAGCAATTGATTCTTCTCGACACAGCCTCCATAAAGCTTGACAAGGTTTGGATGGTTCAGACCTGAAATCATTCCTATCTCATTCACAAATTCGCGGTTTCCTTGGCATGACTTGGAAGAAAGCTGCTTAACTGCTATGATAGTTCCATCTGGCAGCTCTCCCTGCATTAAGTTTCTCATATCAGTATCCAGAAGCAGCCATAATCTCTTAGGTATCCACGTTTGGGAAAAAATTGTCATCTTACTTTGAATACGGATCCGAAACCTCCTTCTCCAAGTTTGTTGGCTTCATCAAAATTGTTAGTTGCAGCTTGCAGTTGCCTCCAAGTAAAACAAACCATTTGTAGACCCTGGGATCTTAGTTCTATGTGATCACGTTCACAACAGAAAAAAAAAACATTACTAATGGCTAAAACGAATCAGTTTACGTTCTTGGAATTAATTAAATACCTCTTTCTCTTGTGTTATTGTCTCCTCTGCATCTCCGTCCAGCATATATTCCCAAAACCAAGAGAATAATTGTTACCACGGCACCGGTTAGTCCGAATATTAGTGAATGGTTAGTGTGATGTTCTGTTCTCGCTGCTGCAAAAGGAGACACTAATGTGTAACTATCTATGTGTGATATATCATACAAATACCAAGTTACAGAAAAAAAAAAACACAAAATTAATTTCGTTTTTCTTACAACCTCCACATTGTGGCTCTAGACCTGAAATTTTGAAAAATGAATACTATTTGTTAGGTGGCGGGAACCAATATTAAGAAAATAACTCAGTGTAAACTTATGGCATACTTGAGGGTGAAACAGCTCAGTGTGAAGCAAATAAGGTATATGACAACAAACAAGAAGTGAAGTAGCTGAAACGCTTGCAAACTTGAGATAGTCAAATAATGTAGAGAAGGGTGCTTACTACTGTGACACAAGGAGATAGCAGAGATAAGAGGACCATAATGTCCTCTTTTAGGAATGAGGGTTGTTCCTTTCCCTGCCCAATACAACCGAATCTCTAACAAATGATCGCTCACATTAACAGCTTTCTTTTCTTTGACAGTAGGCTTTAGAGTCCCATTAGCGCTTTCTTTGATGTTAAAGTCCTTCAAGAACAATTCTCCCTAACAAGGTGAAAAAAGAATTATAAGATAAAATGTTTATCATATGAACTTTAAAAGAATTATTCACTAAAAAGATGATATACCTGAACATAGACATCAAATATGCGCCTTCCTAGACGATTATATAATTCTTCTTCTGCAAACTGAATCTCCATGAAATGGAGTTTCACATTGTAGGCTCCATTTTCCAAGCAAAACGCATAATAAACTAGCGATAGAGCAGATCGACGTGCGGTCTTATAAAGGTCAGGAGAATCTCCTGATGGTGTTGAACTAGTTGAAACAACGTACACGTCATCATCAATTGCATCATCGACAAAGTCACCAGTGTTACTAATTCCCCAATTTTTGAAGTGTTGATATGTAGCAGCTTTAATTTCACTGTTATCAGCTTGATAAGTGATTTTGCCTGAAGAGGTCTCAATAGTTACATTTTCACCACCACAATTTACATGTAGTGATCGTTGATCTACAATTTTCGATTTCTCAAAGTTAAAATGGAGGGAATCAACCAAAGAGAGTACGTCAGAATACTTAATGAATATTGTTAAAGATTAGTTAGAACGGCTCAATTTGTACTTACAGTTCTTGCAGTTCATTGGAACACCGCATGGAAAAAGCTCTGTTCTGAATGACAATACAATCACAATATTTAGGTGACTCTCAAACCGCTTCTATATATTTTTCTGCTTTTGAATGCAACCTAGTTTAATGCATTCTTGTTGCAAAATCAATCATAGAATGTATTACTTACAAATTCTTCTTCAAATATGAGCTCCGATATGTGTTAATGTTGCTGATGAGTCAACAGAAAGTGAGAGAACATAAACTTTTATATGAGCAGATTATTATAACAAACATTTATGTACGTATATTACCTCTTTTCCTGGCAGCTAGTCGACCATGAGAAATTGTTGTAAGAGAGATCACTGAGAGATTCACCAAATGTAAAACGTACAAAACCAACTAGAAGATTAGTTTACACGACAAAAAGATTTCTCAAGCCATACAAACAAGGGAAATCCTGTAAACGTACATATTAGATTTCTTGTTTTGGAGAACACTAGGATCGATGTTTCCGGAGAGCATATTGCTAGTCAGATAGCTGTAAGAACATATAATTAAAGGAAAATGTAAATTAACTATCCGCAAGGATTCTATGATATTCACATTGAAAGTACTTACATATATAATGGTGCTATTTTTATTCCATGAACTTCACCAGTCAACTTGTTAAACGACAAATCACTGCAGCAAATTAACAACATGTACAAAACAAATGAACGTAACTGAGAGAATATTGCCTATATGACTCATATATATGCAAAATATCTCAGCAGGTGGAACCAGTCTGTATGTTAAACAACCTATAGCTAGTTTTGAAATTTACGAAGTCTTTTCACATTTCATCAAAATGAAAGAACTTACAGTGTTCTCAAGACCGGCTTACTCCAGATGTAAGAAGGAATTGTACCAGACAAACTCAAATTCCTCAAAATCCTGAAACCGAGACAGAGAGAGTACATTAGTTTGATTATTCGCAGAAAAATTAAGCTTCATTGCCAAACACATACAGGTTTGTTATGACATTGCTAGATATATTTGGAAAGGAGTTTATCCCAGTTGTATCACCAATACTCCTGCATGATGAATTAAAAAACCATCAGCCTCGTTTAAGTTTTCCTTTTTCGGTAATCTTCTAAAAATAGTAAGTTACAATTCAACAAGATTTTCTAGGCGGGCCACTGCATCAGGAATAGGTCCTTTCAGTCCACTTGCGTATAGATCTCTGTAAATCATAACCAACACAAGTTAGATGACACTTCAAAACAAACTATAAGAGAAACTATAGTTAATGATGATGGACAATCTTACAGCCTTTGAAGCTGAGACCAGTTGCCTATATATTCTGGGATGATGCCAGTGAAGTTATTGTCACATATTCTACTGCATAATATATAAAAACAAGCAATTAATTTAGAGCAAAAAGATTCTAATAATCTTTCATTGCTATGTAGATGGATCGACGACTTACAATTTTTTAATGTTTACAAGTCTAGCGAGAGTGCTAGGAAGGCTTCCTGTCAATTGATTGGATGCAAGTTCCCTGCAAAAAACAGTTTCACAAAGATTCATGTCTCTTGTGGCTTTTCAAAAATGGTTAAAATGTAAAGGGTCTTACAATCCGGTTAGGTTGGTTAAGTAACCAAGCTCATCAGGAATGAGGCCAGAGAACTGGTTTGCTTCAACCCCTCTGTCATATCATCCTAATATTAGGTCATAGTAAAAATGGCACACCCTGGTATATGATACAATTTGAGACGTACAAGTATGTCAGACTCTTGAAGTTTTGCAATCCAATTGGTAAATTTCCGGACAGACGATTTGCGCAAACCGAGCTGTGAGAAAAAAGTCAAAGTTACTCACGAATCATGATTCATGAAGATGAAAAAGCATCAGGGAGGGAGAGAGCTGAGAGCTAACATATAAGTGAGGTATGGCATTGAAGCCCATTCCATTGGTATTGTGCCTGAGAGGTAGTTCCTGCACAAGTTTCTGAAAAGAAGACAACAAAGTCCTTGAGTATTTAGTCATGACTCATGACTCTCTCTTTGGTACATCTCTCAAACTTTTAGTACGTCGTAAAGCAGCCTTGGCTGAAACATTATGGATCCAAATTGCGTTGAGGACACGAAGATTAAAGCAGTAAAACGCCTTAGAATAAATTTTGAGGTATATATAAAATTTTAAGTATGAGAAATTATAAATTAGAATCAACTGCTCGCTCCAACCATTTTTCTATTTGAATACAAGTTGATTGGTGTACGTCTTTCCTATATATTACTTGACATATCAACATCCACTTTCTATACGTTACCATAAGTTAAATAGAAAAAACAAATATGGAAAATGGTTGAGCTTATTTTTCTACGTTTTCTTTTATTAAAGTTGCACTTATTATTATTTGGCTTAATACATATGTATAGGAATTTTAGTTATCTTCTTCTTTGTTAAATTTAAGAGCAAACATATTAAAATAATGTTTTTAGTATTTTGACCCATAAAGAAAAACTGTTATGTATCTGTTGTTTCAGCATACTCCCTTATAGATGGATTAGATTTACAAACCATGGTTTAATTTGTGAAAAAATTACTTACATCTTCTGGAGATATCGAAGCTTGTTCAACTCAGGTGGAAGTTTCCCTGAAAGACTCATGGACTTGAGAAATCTGTGATTGTTCAAGTACAAGTACAACAAAAAGATTTAGAGTGCAAGAGAACAGAGAACTGATAAGAGAAGAAAAAAAGATTAATTATTACACTCACAACTCTGTAATATGACATGTCATATTGTTGTCGAAGGAACAATCACAGCCAATGGTGTTGTTCATCTCCGATTTCCAAACGACATCAATCTTTAGAGTTCTTAAATGGCAAGGGTCTCCATAACTTAGGTTTAATCTCTTTATGCCAAGTGTAGTAGCTATTTCCTCAAGTGCATTTACTTTGAAATTCCGAAACAAACAATTTATCGATTAATATATAGAAAAACAAAGAACTACTTAACCTTTTGATATTGTACGAATTAAACTTGCATTAGTCCATTCGAGTTAATACATTCATATGGATGTAGAGCTGGTGAAGTGGAGATAGTTCGAGTCGCAATGAAGAAGCTTGTGATGATGGCGAAGAACAGCAAAGGAGCCGAGAAGACAGTCCACATCATCGATACAAATGATATACAGCGTTTTTCTTTTCTTTCTTTGTATAAGTATTCGTTTGGTTCTAGTCACAATAACAAGAGATTCAATCAGTGTCAACTGTCATATAATAAAAATCTTATCCCCATTACTCTCTATATATATGTTTACCTTAAGGTCTTCTTGGGTCGTCGGCTACAATTTAGTAGCGATATAATTTTTTTTTATCATAAGGTCTTCTTGGGTCGTTGATGTGATGTTTCATAATAAATGTCCCCTTGTCGCTCCTCAATTATTTATGCATCGAATATCTCTGTGCTACTGCTATCTATTAAAAAGCACCCTTGCACTTGGCAGATCATGTCATTGGACTTCAACGCAACTTCAGATTATAATCTCATAAACGTACAACCACCCATTGTAATCCCACAATCACATACATGGTCATTGAGAAATTACTTAATGATCACTGAAGAAAAGTTTATTCAAGTTCGTGATCACAGAGAGTTTTTGAAATTATGTTTGCATGTCACAGTTTGAATTTCTAAAAAGCGAAACAAATTACTCATCAATGGAGAAAAGTCTCGTTTTACGTAGAAAACAGATACAATCATGGATCACAAAATTAATGCATTAGATTAGCACAGTTAATTTGTACTCAAACCTTATAAGCAAAATGCAATATTAGTTTTTTTCAAAAAAAACTTGTATCCGTTTTCAGAATTTGAGACGATGGCATACACAATTTTTTTGCATACAACATTAGATCTATAATGGATTGTTGTTGTTATTGTTTTTTCACTCTCTAGCTAGTAAAGACAATGGACTCGGGGCTGAGTGGGTACAGATCATTGGTCTGCATGAGATGATCATAAGTAGATTCAGAGGATGACGGAATCGACATGATACCATCAAAAGGTAAAGCTGATGGATTGAAGCGCAAGTCCTCACCATACACTCCAGGGTCTGATATGATCTGCTCTATATCAGTCTCCCCTTCAAGCATCTTTACAACTTCTGACATGCTTGGCCTTAATGTCGGAGACTTGTTTGAGCATAAAAGTGAAACCTTTATCATTCTCTCTGCCTCCAACACATCAAACATTCCTGCCAGCCTCGGGTCAAGAATCTCCGCGAAATCCCCTTTCTTTTGCAACACAAATGCCTGAAATTGAAAATATAAAAACTTTTTAATTGCGAGAAAGCAGAGTTCTTGTGGAGGAAACGCCTGAATCAGTACCCAATCAAGAAGGCCAACGCAACATTCGTCATCTGGCGTGTATTTTGCGTTGTTCTTTCCGCTAACAATCTCCATTGCCACCACACCGAAACTGTAAACATCTGCCTTTTCTGTTAGGTGACCCCTCATTGCATATTCAGGAGCCATATATCCTCTGCAACCATAACAACATTAACTGTCACTGAATTTTTTTCACCACAAGTAGGATGAGGTGTATATGACTGACTACAAGACTGACATTGTTCCAGCAACTCTGGTGGTAATGTGACTTTGATCGTTTTCATGTAGCCTGGCCAACCCGAAATCTGATATCTTTGAGTTCAGATTCTTGTCTAGCAGAATATTTGTCCCTTTAATGTCTCGGTGAATGATCTTAACTGCCGAATCTTCATGAAGGAAAGCAAGCCCTCTCGCGATCCCTAAGCAAATTTTGTGTCTTGTTCTCCATTCTAGTTTCAGACAGCTTCTTCCTGCTCCGACAGTGTACAAGCAAACAATCTAACTCAAGAAAGAAGAGAATGCAGTCAAAGGATTTGGTCCAATCATCTGTCAGATACTTTACCAAATAATGCATCAGAAAGACAATTGTTCTCCAAGTACTCATAGACAAGAAGCAGCTGGTTTTTCTCAATACAGCATCCATACAGTTTCACAAGGTTCGGGTGCTGCAGGCAAGCGATCATACCGATCTCGGTTACGAACTCTTTGTTACCTTGACGTGATTTGGAAGATAGCTTCTTTACCGCAATCAATGTTCCATCTGGTAATCGCCCCTGTATTGTCAAATGTTTGGCTTAATGTCACCTATTTTGAAGAATACTAACATTGATTTCTAGAGCTTGAAGACTCTTTTGTACCTTATAAACAGATCCAAAGCCGCCTTCTCCAATCTTGTTTATGGGATCAAAATCGTTAGTCGCAACTTTTAGTTGCCTCAAACTGAAGGAACCTGTTATTAGATTAGGTCCCTCAAGCTCACCACAACAGATGGTTTTTTAAGTAGTGAATTCTAGAGATCGGTACCTCGTTCTGCTGCATTTACATCTCTAACACACTTTCTCCAACAGAATGCACCGAGGAGCAAGAAAGCAAGAAAGACTGCTAAGCCGGGGATAAGAAGATATGTTGTCCGTTTATGATATTTTCTTACTGGAAGAATCTGCACTGGATCTGAAGGTGGAAAATAGAATACAAAGAGAAACGATTAACCCATATTTAGGCTTTAACACGAAAAAAGGACTCACAGACTTGAGATTTCTTTTCATACCACCGCATTCAGAGTCTGAACCTGATAAAACAAGAACAAGTAAATCATTAGGATAAAAATTTCTGAGGAAATGTGATGCTTACTTCCACAAAAATTACTTACTGGGACAAACTGAGACTGCAGAAATAAGAGAGCCATAATACCCTCTTTGAGGAATGATCGTCGTGCCTTTCCCTGCCCAGTAAAGTCGTATCTCTAAAGTATTATCAGTCACAGTTGTGTTTACTTCTTTTGTAACTTCTTTGTGAGTTCCATTAGCCTCATCTCTGATGCTGAAATCCTCCCAAATTAACTTACCCTGAACAGATATTAAAGTTTAAACTTCAACAATTGGCTAAAATGCTGAAAAGGGGTTCTTAAAGAATCTGCAGCGAAATGCTATATGTACCTGAATGTAAATGTTAAAAACCCGTTTCGCTAGTCTAGCATATGGTTCCTCATCTGAGAATTGAATCTCTGCAAAATGAAGTTTCACGTTGTAGCTTCCATTTTCAAAGCAAAATGCAAAGTAAGCCAAACTCAAGGGAGAACGTCGAGCTGTCTGATAAAGTTCAGGATATTTAGCTGATACAACAGATTCTGATGAAACATAGTATCTATCTGTGGTTGTTCTATCATCCATAAAGTCACCAGTGTTGCTGAATCCCCAGTTTGTGTTATGATAGTTCATAGCTGAACCTGTAGGTCCATAGTTATCACCCTGGTACTGAAGCTTTCTACGAGAGTTTTCGATAGTTACATTAGGTCCCCCACAGTTTATATGCAGCGATCTACTATCTGTGGAAAGTAAACATTTTCCAATGAAACTCGAAAATGGGTATTTAAAAAACCCCATAAAATAGAGAAGCACGTACAATTTTGGCATTGCTTTATGGCAGAGCATGGAAGAAGTCTGGTCCTGTAATCAGAATCAAGGCAACAATTTAATAACAGTACACAAAGTATTCAGTGATATATAAGATTGACAAAATGTTCTTACAGACGGTTTTTTGAGTGTGAGCTGTCATATGTGTTTACATTCCTACATGAAAAACTATGTTAAAAGCATCCAGAAAGTTTAACGAGAAAAAAGCGGTAGTTAAGATAACAATTAAAGAACATACCTCCTCTCTTTGCACATTGGAGACCACGTGAAATTATTATAGGACAGATCACTGCACATATTATGATATGAATATTGGAACCAAGAAGAAAAGGAGAGATTACTGTAATACCGATACATATTTTGACATCGCTATAAAATAAGATTGGCCATACATATTTGTGCTTGCAGTAAGGAAAGCTCCTGTTTCAACCTTTCCAGACAACATGTTTCCAGCCAAATATCTGAAAAATGAAACCAGGAGATGAGTTCAATAGTTTTAGCACATTTTAATTGCTTACCTAATCCTTTTGACACTTTAGGACTTACGTGTATCTCGGGGCGGTTGCATATGCTGGTATTTCTCCAGTCAGCATATTAAAGGAAAGATCCCTGCCCGAAAAAGAAAGGTATCATATAAAAATTGGACAGTGTTTAGCAATATGCGTAGTGATATAACATGAGACTAACAGAGTTTTTAGACTAGGCAGATTCCAGAGACTGGTTGGAATTGGTCCTGATAAGTTTAAGTTCCTCAGAACCCTGAAAATTATCAATTTCAGTCTACACATATGTCTTTGAGCATAGAATCGTATCTAGACCTGAGAAATAAAGATGTACTACATACAAATATTCCAGGCTTTTGCTAGTTATCTGAGGAACATGTCCTGATCCTGCAACAGTGTCACTGATCTTCCTGCATAGAAAGAAAAGCCACAGTTTCGTTTCAAAAAAGAGCATAAGCTTCTGAAACTTACAATGTTATATGATAAATTACAGGTGGATCAAATTCTCCAGACGAAAAATGGAGTCTGGAATAGGTTCTCCAAGGCCACTCGCATAGAGTTCTCTGATACAACGTTATTAGCCCAAGTCAGAAAACATTGAAATGTAAAGCTACAAACAATTTATGTTTAATGCAAAAGAAAGATACTACACTCACAATTTTTTAAGTTGGGATAATTCTCCAATAAACTCTGGAATCGATCCATTCAGGCGATTATCGCTTAGGTAGCTGTAAACAATAGAATGAAAAGCGATTCACTATGATGAACACATCTCAAAGACGATATATTGTAAGAAAAAAAACACAAGATGATCTTACAGATCTGTTAGCTTTTTAAGTCTTGCTAATGTCTTGGGGAGGCCTCCAACAAGTTGGTTGGAAGAGAGTCCTCTGGAATCAGCAAAGCAAAATCAAATGGATATATTTGAGAAAATCACTAATGAATCTGTTTGATTTTGAAGAGTCTTACGTACAATCCTTGTAGATTCACTAGGTTCCCCAGTTCCTTAGGAATAGTTCCAGAAAATTGATTGCCTTCAAGAGCTCTGAAATCAAGCAAACGGACGAAAGATTTAGTTTTCAAAAAAGACAAAACTTCATATGTAATCTAATTTTTTTCTTTCTTTTAATGTAATCTCATGAGATCAACAAAATAATGGTAAAAACATACAAAACGGTGAGGTTGATAAAC